TTCTGTGATCCAAATTCGAGATAGAGCTTTTTGATAATGATAATTTGTCAGAGTAAGGTTGTGTAATCAAAATTTGAGAATGAGCTTTGTCAATCAATCAAGAATATTTGCATTAAGTTCTGTGATCAAAATTCAGAAACAACCTTTAATAATTGATAAAGAATATGTGAGTGAGGTTGTGTGATCCATCCAATTTGAGAATTAGCTTTGATAATAATGATTGAGAGCCTCTGGCCCTCTGTGGATCATGGCCGCGGGGCCAATTTTGCCTGGCCCCTTGGGGCCTCTGTGGGTCGTGGCCGCGGGGCCAAGTTGGCCTGGCCCCTTGGGGCCTCTGACCCTCTATGGATCGGGGCCAAGTTGGCCTGACCCCTCGGGGCCTCTGGCCCTCTATGGATCATGGCCGTGGGGCCAAGTTGGCCTGACCCCTTAGGACCTCAGGCCCTCTGTGGGTCGTGGCCGCGGGGCCAAGTTGACCTGGCCCCTTGGGGCCTCTGGCCTTCTGTGGCTTGCGGCCATGGGGCCAAGTTGGCCTGGCCCTTTGGGGCCTCTGGCCTTCTGTGGGTCGTGGCCGCGGGGCCAAGTTGGCCTGGCCCCTTGGGGCCTCTGACCGTCTATGGATCGTGGCCGCCGGGCCAAGTTGACCTGGCCCCCTGGGGCCTCTGACCCTCTATGGATCGTGGCCGCGGGGCCAAGTTGGCCTGGCCCCTTGGGGCCTCTGACCGTCTATGGATCGTGGCCGCGGGGCCATGTTGGCCTGACCCCTTGGGGCCTCTTACCCTCTATGGATCATGGCCGCAGGGCCATGTTGGCCTGACCCCTTGGGGCCTCTTACCCTCTATGGATCATGGCCGCGGGGCCAAGTTGGCCTGACCCCTTAGGACCTCAGGCCCTCTGTGGGTCGTGGCCGCGGGGCCAAGTTGACCTGGCCCCTTGGGGCCTCTTACCCTCTATGGATCATGGCCCCTTGGGGCCTCTTACCCTCTTTGGATCGTGGCCGCGGGACCAAGTTGGCCTGGCCCCTTGGGGCCTAAGATTATTATTTTTGCAAAAGTAGTTTTGCTTGGGTCGCGGCCGCGGGGCCAAGTTGGCCTGGCCCCTTGGGGCCTCTGGCCCCCTGGGCCTGGGCCCGGTAGGCCCGGTCATTAATCCACCTATGCCTACACTGCATCTGCTCTTCCACCTTTGGGCAGATCAGACCATAACATCATACACCTAAGGCCAGTCTATGTCCCGCTGGTGCACAGGCAGCCTATGGAGCCCCGTGTGTTGAGGAGGTGGACTGCAGAAAGCGAGGAGGCCCTCAGAGACTGCTTTAGCACTACTGTGTGGAGTGAACTCTGTGACCCCCACGGACAGGACATCAACTCCATGACAGAGTGTATCACGGACTACATCAACTTCTGCTACGAAAACATTGTACCCACTCAAACGGTACAGTGTTTTCCTAACAACAAGCCGTGGATCAACCGGGACATAAAGGTTCTGCTGAAGGAGAAGAAGAGAGCCTTTAGGTCAGGGAGCAAACAGGCTCTGAAGGAGGCACAGAGGAAGCTGAGGAGAAATATCAGGAGGGCCCAAGCTGCCTACAAGAAGCAGATAGAACAACAGCTCCAAAGGTGTGGAATGCAATGAAGACTGTGTCTGGCTTCAACCCCCCCAGGACACAGTCAGAGGGCAATATACAGAGAGCCAATGACCTCAACTCACACTTCCTGAGATTTGAGGCGACACCACCACATCCCCCCAACACTCCCCCTGCTCAGCAGCCTGTGCCTGAGCCCACCACCCCCACCTCTCACCTACCTCCTCCCCACACCTCGTCCGGGGAATCATCCTCCATCTCTCTCACAAAAGACCAGGTTAGAGAGCAACTCAGGCGCCTTAGACAGATGAAGGCAGCAGGACCAGACAACATCAGCCCGCGCCTCCTCAAGTCCTGTGCAGATAAGCTGTGTGGAGTCATACATCGAGTCTTCAACCTGAGTCTGGAGCAAAGTGTCGTCCCTGCACTGTGGAAGACCTCATGTGTGGTTCCTGTGCCAAAAACACTGCACGCCAGTGACCTCAACAGCTTCAGACCAGTGGCCCTCACGTCTCATCTGATGAAGACCATGGAGCGGCTCGTCCTCAGTCACCTCCGCACCACAGTAAGCTCTGCTATGGACCCCATGCAGTTTGCTTACCGACCTGGCATTGGTGTGGAGGACGCCATCATCTCCATCCTGCATCGCTCTCTGTCCCACCTGGAGAGGGCCAGCAGCGCTGTGAGGATTCTCTTCTTTGACTTCTCCAGCGCCTTCAACACCATCCAGCCGAGACTCCTGAGAAACAAGCTGGAGACTGCAGGAGTGGACTGTGACCTGGCCGACTGGATCCTGGACTATCTCACAAACAGGCCCCAGTTTGTGAGGACGAGAGACTGTGTGTCTGACATCAGGACCTGTAGTGTGGGGGCCCCCCAGGGAACGGTCTTAGCGCCCTTCCTTTTCACCCTCTACACTGCAGACTTCAGACACAACACGGACAGCTGCGTCCTGCAGAAGTTCTCCGATGACTCCGCCCTCATTGGCCTCATCACAGATGATGACGACGCGGAGTACAGAGGACTTATTCAGGACTTTGTGGACTGGTGTCAGCTGAACCACCTCCTCATAAATGCGGGAAAGACCAAGGAGATGGTGGTGGACTTCAGACGCCGTCCCACCGTCCCTCCCCCAGTGAACATCCAGGGAAAGGACATTGAGAGGGTGGACACTTACAAGTACCTGGGTGTTCATCTCAAATACAAACTGGACTGGACTCACAACACGGAGGCTCTGTACAGGAAGGGCCAGAGCCGGCTCTACCTCTTGAGGAAGCTCAGGTCTTTTGGGGTGAGAGGGCCACTCCTGAAGACCTTCTACGACTCTGTGGTGGCATCAGCCATCCTGTACAGTGTGGCCTCGTGGGGCGACAGCATCACGGAGAGGGACAGGAAAAAACTAGACAAGATCATCAAGAGGTCCAGCTCAGTCCTGGGCTGTCCTCTGTACAGCAGGTGGGGGACAGGAGGGCCCTGTCCAAACTCATGTCTATGATGGACCATGAGGACCACCCCCTGAAGGACACTCTCTCTGCTCTGGAGAGCAGCTTCAGTGAAAGACTGATAAACCCTCGCTGTATAAAGGAGATATTCCGCAGATCCTTTCTTCCTGCTGCTGTCAGACTGTACAACCAACAATGCTAGCTCCGTATCAACCATATGTCCACCGTCACTTTACCTGTTATTATTGCATATCTATTGTATACTTCACTCATACCTATTTAAATCTGCAATAATTTAATACAATCAATCATTTGCACAGAACTTTACTGTTGTCACTTTATACCAGTGTTGCCTTGTCTGTCTGTATATACACTATATTGCCAAAAGTATTTGCTCACCCATCCAAATTATTGGAATCAGGTGTTCCAATCACTTCCATGGCCACAGGTGTATAAATTCAAGCACCTAGGCATGCAGACTGTTTTTACAAACATTTGTGAAAGAATGGGTCGCTCTCAGGAGCTCAGTGAATTCCAGCGTGGAACTGTGATAGGATGCCACCTGTGCAACAAATCCAGTCGTGAAATTTCCTCGCTCCTAAATATTCCACAGTCAACTGTCAGCTGTATTATAAGAAAATGGAAGTGTTTGGGAACGACAGCAACTCAGCCACGAAGTGGTAGGCCACGTAAACTGACGGAGCGGGGTCAGCGGATGCTGACGCGCATAGTGCGAAGAGGTCGCCAACTTTCTGCAGAGTCAATCACTACAGACCTCCAAACTTCATGTGGCCTTCAGATTAGCTCAAGAACAGTGCGCAGAGAGCTTCATGGAATGGGTTTCCATGGTCGAGCAGCTGCATCCAAGCCATACATCACCAAGTGCAATGCAAAGCGTCGGATGCGGTGGTGTAAAGCACGCCGCCACTGGACTCTAGAGCAGTGGAGACGCGTTCTCTGGAGTGACGAATCGCGCTTCTCCATCTGGCAATCTGATGGACGGGTCTGGGTTTGGCGGTTGCCAGGAGAACGGTACTTGTCTGACTGCATTGTGCCAAGTGTAAAGTTTGGTGGAGGGGGGATTATGGTGTGGGGTTGTTTTTCAGGAGCTGGGCTTGGCCCCTTAGTTCCAGTGAAAGGAACTCTGAATGCTTCAGCATACCAAGACATTTTGGACAATTCCATGCTCCCAACTTTGTGGGAACAGTTTGGAGCTGGCCCCTTCCTCTTCCAACATGACTGTGCACCAGTGCACAAAGCAAGGTCCATAAAGACATGGATGACAGAGTCTGGTGTGGATGAACTTGACTGGCCTGCACAGAGTCCTGACCTCAACCCGATAGAACACCTTTGGGATGAATTAGAGCGGAGACTGAGAGCCAGGCCTTCTCGTCCAACATCAGTGTGCGACCTCACAAATGCGCTTCTGGAAGAATGGTCAAAAATTCCCATAAACACACTCCTAAACCTTGTGGACAGCCTTCCCAGAAGAGTTGAAGCTGTTCTAGCTGCAAAGGGTGGACCGACGTCATATTGAACCCTATGGATTAGGAACGGGATGTCACTTAAGCTCATATGTGAGTCAAGGCAGGTGAGCAAATACTTTTGGCAATATAGTGTACTTAATGTATATATTTTTTTATATATCTTTAAATATTTTTTATACTTTGTATTCTTCTTTTTTCCTACTGTACTGTGATGCAACGCTGCAATTTCCCCACTGTGGGACAAATAAAGGATTATCTTATTTTATTTCTAGATCATTTTTCCAGTGCAGTGATAAACTGGAGGAAAACAGCCTCAGTCGGTTTATGAGGGAAAATGATCTTAATCAACATCATCTGGTTTGCTTTCATTAAAGGAAATGGAACTAAACCTTCCTGCAGAAGAACCACCTGAAGGTCAGAATGACTGATTTTTTCTGAAGGTCTATGTTGGACTTTATCTCAGAGAGAAGAAAGAAAAACAGGAAATGTGGACAAACAGCAGCAGCCATGTTTCCCTGCAGGAACTCCAGGCTTCTGTGACATCATCAACATTTTATTTTCTCTCATCATTCATGAGATACAAAGAAAACTAAAGGAAACCAACCAGAACTGGGCCATAGATTCACATGGTTGATAAATAAACAGGAAGTGACATCAGAATCTGTTTTACTCTGCTTCCTCTACTCCACTGAAGGCTTAATGTCTCGAGGAAAAACATCCCAGGAGTCGAACCCAGGAACGTGGTTCTTCCAGTCAGGCTGAAGAGGAGGATTGTTCAGAGCCATCAAACATCCCAACCAGAAGCACTCAGAGGTCAGAGATCTCAGATCCGCCTCCACCTCCTCTGAGTTTGGACCTCCATGTCCAGGGAAACCAGCCTGAGGAGGAAATGTCCAAAGTTACACATGGATTCTTCCATCAGGGCTACAAATCAAACATCTATCAATCAAACCTTCAGAAGATCTTCTTTGCTGCTGTGGAACAGCGCCATCTGCAGGTTCTGAACCGTCAGCTGTCTGAACTCTTTAACCTGGAACACAGGAACCATGAAGCTTAGATCATACTTAATGATGTAGCAGAGACATTGGTTGAAGAGTCCAGAACCTTCTGAGGAGTCCTTCCACTGCTGGACTCCATCTGCTGGAACATCTCCTCTATCTGCTGCTTCTTTCTCTTCATTTCCTCTGACGCTGCTCCAAAGGTTTTCTACAGAGATCAGTCTATCATCAGTCAAAGCAGAGCCTGGGTGACATGAAGCACAGAAGGTAAACCTCCAGAGAGCAGCTTTACTCCACCTGGATCAGATCCTTGGCCTCCTTTGGGCCCACGTTCCTGGACTTCAGCTGATCTTTGGTTTTAGGCCACTGCAGCAGCTTCAGGTTGTCATACATCTCAGTCAGTCTGGTTTTACTGACCGGGTTGTTCATGCTCTCAGTGTTTCCTGTTTTCAGAGAGATGGCCACCTGTTCTGCCAGTCTGTCAAAGGGTTGAAGGTTTGGTTAATTCTGCAGCGGCTCAGTAAACCTGATGCCTCAGCTCTCGGGTCGGTACCTGTCTTTGACCGATTTTAGTTCTTTCTCTTTTTTAGCTGCAGCAGATCTGAGGAGGAAAAAAAGGAAGCTTTGATGAAAACCTTACAGTTCCTGTTTAGATGTGATGATAACACAGTGGGCTGATATTAGCAGTCAGATGCAGACCTGCAGATAGAAACCAGTCGGTTTAATGAAGCTGTTAACTGGTTACAGCCAGTAAATAACATTAGAAAATGACTCACCGGGCCTCACTGAGCTTCTTCTTGTAAAACGTCTCCATCTCAGTCAAACTGTATAAAAATAATGATTCTCTAAATAGTGACTCATCACCAAAAATCAAAGTAATAAAAATTATAATTTTCTGGTCATTGTTGGTATTTCTATGATAGATCCATAAAACAGACCTTTCTTTGTGTTCACATCCTTGTTTACATCGCTGGGAGCTGGACCTTAAATCTGAAGCTTCCTGAAGCCTTGAATTCAGAAAACAAGTCATCACTGATATGAAGGTAGAACTAGAGAACTAGAAGTAGAATTAATCTACTCAGTTTATTTCTATGGGGCCAGTTTACAACAGATGTTATCTGAAGGGCCTTAAAGCATCCAGTTTATACGCATCTAATAACAGAGACTATTATTCTCTGAGCCTCATTCCCAGCTTCTCTAACAGGATTCTATCAGCTGGATGAACTCATTAACAGCCAAACTAAATCCAGACTGATTCACAGATTAATGATTTAAATATCTGCTAAGATCTTCCTCTTATAATAGTTTTACTAACTCTGAAAGTTCAACTGATCAAAGCAGTTTAAACCAGTTCAGATTCTACCTCAGATGCTGCCTCACCTTCCAGAGATAAACCAATCATAGATAGAGGAGTGCTAATTATCTTATTTTAATAACATCAATCTTATTCATAAAGAATCCCATAAAATCATTGCTGCTAAGAGCAGGTGGAATGGACGGTTCAACAGAGCTATGGCTCTGGGTGAGTTTGGCAACTGGATTAAAAAGATATCTGGGATTATTCTTATTCTCCTCTATTAATGAGGGGAAATATGCTGCTCTGCTTTACAAAGGGTCGTCTTATACAGCAGTAAACTATTTTCCAGACTAGGCAGGATTCCTGTAGGCATGTAGAGCGTCATTTTCTCTCTAGTTTCCTAACATTATGCTGATGAATTTAAAATCCTCCTTCTCACATATAAAGCCTTAAATAACCAAGCTCCATCTGATATCAGAGATCTGATTGTTCCTTATGTTCCTAACAGAGTACTTCACTCTCAGTCTACAGGTTTACTAGTGGTAACCAGTGCAAAGTCAATGAGTAAATGCAATTAGCAGGTTTTCCATAGACAGAAACCTTTATTACTGATCTGACTGCATGATCTGGTTGAATTGACTCTATAAAGTCCTTTGAGATGACGTGTTGTATATTGGCTCTATATGACTAAAGTGAATGAATCTTCCAGGCAGCTGTTAGTTACTGACATAAAGTTAACATCTGATCAGACTGAGTATAAAAGCTAAAGTTTGGGTTTATATCTGAGTGAAATCCTGAGTACCTCAGATTGAGGGATTTTATTTCCTCCTCTCTTTGTTTAAGAGCCGATCTGAAGGAGAGAAAAATAACACAGAAATTAAAGAAATACTTCTTATTATTTTTGGATTAATATCGATCAACTCTCAGTTCAGTTATTCCAGATGTTTCTCAGGGAAGCTGATAAACCTGATCTGGTTTATGTTTTCTAGAATGAATAAAGTGACTTACTCTGCTTGTTCTAGTTTCTGTGGGTAAAGAGCCTCAGTCTCTGCAGCAGCAGGAAGTTTCTGTTTCTCTCTTCCTGCTTCTCTACAGACACTGAATTCTGCTGCTGTTCTATTATAGAAATTACATGAAATTAAACTACAAACCTGCTGAAGTTCTTACATCGATGTTCTGCAAATGTTTAACATATAAATAAAAATTCTCTCATAATGCATCTCTGAGATGCATTATGGGAAATGTGTCTATAGAAGCTTTTGGAGACAAAGAGATGCCAGAACATTTAGACATTTAAAAACTAAAAGAAAAACAATCCTAAAGCAAACAGGAAGTGGTTGAAGGAAATGAAATCAGTGAGATGTTTTCACGCCGTCTGCTTCCTGTTAGCAAACAGCAGCTCAGTTCTGAAGCAGCTGAAGACGCGCTTCATTAAAACATGGAGGAAATGATCTCCTGGACCAGGAGGCAGAATTTACTCTGAACTAAATAATTTTCTCAATATGAGAAAACCTTCATCCTTTAAAGGAATAGTACACCCAAAACATAATTAGCCTTCATTTTCTACTCACCCCCCATGCTGAACAACACTCTGGAGTACTTTTTTGATATCTCAAATGCATCTGGAGATCTGAGAGGCTTCTTGCTGTCTGCTGAAATTCAAATAATGGAGGTCTATGGCGCCCGAGACAGAAAGGTCCATAAAAGTCCACAAAAACGTGTCAATATTCCTCCATACTGCTCGTCCAATGTAATCCAAGTGTCCTGAGTGGGTAGCATCCAGAATTTACTCGAAACGAAGTCATTTAGAACGTTTTAGAGCCTAAACAGTAGTGTATAGGATTTCCTAATAGCGCCCCCATGCGCGCTCACGATTCTACGGAAGCCGGCAGACCAAACCGGAAGAAAGAGCGCATTCAGCGTCTGCTCTGCCGATAATGCAAGCGTAGAAGAAGAAATGTGCTGTTTACCTGTGCAAAGAAAGAAACAACGAAAGAAAAATGTCTGAGGACTTCAGTGTTGAGGAAAAGCAGGAGTTCTTTGCCGAGCCTTTTCTCTATGAACCAGAATACACAGATGACGAACTTAGAGACATGGATGAGGCAGCCGCAGCTCAAGCTGAGCCGCAAACACCGTTGTGCTACAGACGTAGAGCGTCAGAAACGTGGTGTAAATGTGGAAATTGTCAAGCAATGCCAACAGAAGAGGAGAGCATTTGCTGTGTGGACTGGGACTTATTGATGCCACCACTGGAGGATCTAAATATCTCCACTGATGAGACCGAGAGCACTAGCCAAAGACTTTGTGTCACCCAAAACACGGATTATCCACCATTACTGACCCGTGGCGTTCTGGAGATGTTTTTCCATGTGCCCAAAATCAATTGGAAAAAGAGGCCAAGACCCGCAGGACCAAACAACACGCTCTCTGCAGAGTAAGTTTTGTGCAACAGGCCTATGCCTTGCTAATAATATTATTATATATATCATATATATATATGATATATATATGATATATATATATATATGATATATATATATATATGATATATATATATATATCATATATATATATATATGATATATATATATATATATCATATATATATATATATATCATATATATATATGATATATATATATATATATCATATATATATATGATATATATATATATATATCATATATATATATATATATGATATATATATATATATATCATATATATATATATATATATGATATATATATAGATATATATATCATATATATATATATGATATATATATATATATATGATATATATATATATATATATATATATATATATATCATATATATATAGATACATAATGTTAATGGTACTCACTGTGCAGTTTTTTGTATGTGATGCTAGTACTAAAGTCTGTTTACTCAGCATCTTACCCAGCTTGTGTCCTGGATGAGATGCTTTCTTTTTCACTTGTATTGCTAAAATAATGGCTCCATTTTACCCCCCCCCCCCCCCCCCCCCCTCCCCCAGTCAGTACAGGTTGGTGGCCTACCGTGTGGTACTCGAGTGGATTCTGAAAGGCGAGAGACTTGGCAAGGACAGCAGAAGAGTTTTACCAGCCTGTATTGTTACAAGCATCCATCCCAGCTACCCTTCACCAGATGGAGTGTATACTGGTTTCAAGGAGGCAGAGGCAGCTTTTGAACAGTTGTAAAGACTATAAACAAATCCTAAGAGACTCTTCCATATTAATTTGTACTACTTCATTATATTTCATATTTTTTCCCAAATCACAAACCTATACTGCCTCATTATAGATAACATTTCAGAATTTATGTAGCCGATAACTGTAACCTTTCCTGTACTATTGTGTTGTTTTGGAAATAAACAAAATGACTTTGGATGGTAAGAAAGATGTAACTCTGTTCCTTTGATTAAATATTTATTCTAGACCTAAGTGTGAAATGCAGACAAACCAACCACAGACACATGCCATTTTATTTAAAAATGTCATGTCATAACTATATTAAGTAAACCCCTTATCAGACTCTGTATCCCAGAATTTTGAAAAAAAAAAAAGATAAAATTACATGCCACCAGCTAGACTTTTTATTTGCATAAGTACAAATATAAAAAGGCAAGAGTAAAAATACTGCACCACTCAGACTAACTGCTGTATCGGGAAGTACGTTTTTGTATGGCTTCCTCTTTGGCAGGTTTTGGTTTCTGAGCAATGTTTTCTGGTATGGGAGGGATAGAAACATATGACTGGGGGTCTTTGATCTTGATGTTGGGCTCCAGGCGTCTCCGCACAACTTGCACCACCAGATTTTGCCGGAATGTTTGTGTTGTTGGAACATAGATCTTTTTGGCGACCCATTCTTTTGTTTGTTTTGGGTAAACCACATTGAACCGTGCTTGTCCTAAAAAACAAAGAAGAAAATGTAAGACAGAGGAAACATTAATGAAATAACATAGCTATTATAAAGCATTCAAAAAGTTTCGGTTTTAGGTTTCAAAAAAGGAACCAAGAAATTGTATCCAAATAATTAGGAATCTGGTACTTGTAATTTTGTGGTGGTGAGAATTAGGACCATAAAGTACCATATTTGTTATGCAGATCTTAGTGCAGCAGCTCACTAAACAGGTGCGGTTCCCATTGAAGGTTAAATGTAATGTTTGCTGTTTTTTCAATACAGCTCATTTTGAGGACATAAATGAGTATATGACACTGAGCACAGCGCACAAGGTTAGGTTTTTTTGTTTTGAAGATACTTTCTTGTTACCTGTGTTGGTGTAGGCCTGTTCACGCTGAACATTTTCATTGTGGTCCATAACGGCAAGCTGGGTGCGAGCTTTCATTGTTGAGTAGTGGAAGTGCAGTCTCTTCTCTGTGTATTTCAGCATAGATGCATGGAATACTTCAAGCTTCCCTGAGAAAACATAATATCAATCAATCAATCAATCTTTATTTCAGACACAAAAGAGGTCCATAGTAAAAACAAAAGAAAACAAAAGAAAAAGAAAACAAAAAGAAGCATGACATGATGCATGATCAGTTATTATTATCATAACTTTATGTTGCCTAAATGTGAAGAATGTGATGTTACTCACATCAGGGTCACCTCCACAAGTGGAACAGGCGTACCACAAGTGATTGCAGATGGATTTTATCCATGGTTGCAGGTTGTCCTTTTTGTTGGATGCTGACAGCAATTT